ATGGCACTTTGTAGATCATTGGCCCATATATCATTTGCCTTATTCCTAAAATAGAGTTCAAAGAGGATGGATTTTGCTTGGCTTAAACTAATGACCTATTCCTGAAGCTGATCCCACTCAAACCTCATAGCTAAAAAAAAGTTAGGTGTTTCCCAAAAAGAAATTTGGCATGTTGTGGTTATGAAGAAGGAAAGATTGTTTTTGGACAGCAAGCACACAGCTATGTAGTACATGGTGCTATATTGAGAGCCCCCCCCTTTTTTGCAGTTGTCTAATTTTATTTCACAGTCAGCAGTTAGTTCTCATCCACATTGACTGTAAATTTTTTGAAGTGGTGACAGATACCTAGATAACCAACATAAAGAGTTCATTCATTGAGTCTTTATCCTTTTGTGTTTTCTGGATAACCGCACACACATACAGTATGGGACATTCCTTGTTCCTTTGGCCCATACTGCTTTGGTGTTAAATGTGCACATCTGGAAATCCCATCTCCTTCATGGCAGATTTCAGGATCTCTTTCAGTGTTTGAAAGGCACACCTCTTGAAGCTCATTCTGTGGATGCACTTGTGCATGTTGATTGTGTAGTCTCTGTTCCCTAACCAGGATGGTTGAATGGCCCTGGTTCCCTCCAGCCTTCTCTGTGGGAGCCATTATGCTGGGTCCAGGTTGGAAAATTGAAAGCCATTTCTTAGCATATTTACTGAATTGATTATTATTTTTGTGTCTTACCTTAACTCTTTATGTTTAAATACCTTTTTCAGTATATAACAAATATATTGAATGTTTAATATGTGTAAAGCATTGTGCTGGACGCTGTCAGGTGTAGAAATAAATTCATTTAGATGTCTATCTACCGTTAAGGTTAGAGTACAATACAGATGAGGCCGTAGGATGGTAGTTGAGAGAGTGAACTCTGTAACTGGACAGACCTCAGTTCAATTCCTGTTTCTGTCATTTATTAAATCTCTAGCTTTGTTTAAGTTCCCTAATCTCTTAGTGCCTTTTTTCTTGGAAATGAGGCTGATAATGCCTTAAATAATACTTTACAGGGATTTTGTGAAGATTAAATAAGAAAATGCATATCAACTCTTAACACAGTGCCAGCCTATGAAATATACAAAAACCAATGGTATGGGAAGAAAAGTGGTAAATTCCATTAAAATATATATATAGCTGAAGTGCAGTGAGAGCAACTTAGTCTTCAAAGATTGGAGAAGGCTTCATGAAATTGATAGAATTTAAGTTGATCTTTGAGCAATTTTTGAATGACTGGAATTGGAGAAATGGTTATTTTTTGCTTTTAACATTTTTTTATTGAGTTACAGTCATTTTACAATGTTGTGTCAAATTCCAATGTAGAGCACAATTTTTCAGTTATACAGATAGATATACATAACATGAACATTCATATATTCATTGTCACATTTTTTTTTCACTGTGAGAGAAATGGTTATTTAAGGAAAAATAATTTTGTGATAATAGTAAACATAGTTGGTCTTTCTTGAAACTTCACAAAGAGTTGCCTCTGGTTTTATTTCCTTCTATTTCCTCCAGGGTCTTGCTCTTCAGCTCTTTTTCTTCTTCAGTGTCTTAAGCTCTCAAGCTTCACAGGTCACCAGTGTCCTCCTGTTTATCAAAGAAAATGGAGAGATTTTCTTTGACCAGGGCTTTCTCTTTCTATTTCACTTTCTTTTTTCCTGCTTATGGATGTAATGTATATGATCATTGTAGAAAGCTTCGGGAATAGACAAGTAAAAACATTCATAATTACATTGTTAAAACTTTGGTATATATCATTCCAGCTAATTTTCTGTGAATATAAAAAAATTGAGGTCATATGTACTGTCTATGAGCATTTTCTCATATCCTTGTGTATATCTATCTGAGAACAGAATTTAGTGGCAGCCTACTTTTAGTGTTTTGAATGTAACACATATTTAACTAGTGTTTTTCTGTGAATAAAAAAAAGTTAAGTATCCTTTAGCATAGAAATATGGGTCATGTCCAGGATCAAAAGGTAAAAACTTCTAAGACTTCTGATTGCTAAATTGTCTTCCAGAAGGGTTATACTAATTTATACTCCAACAGCAGTATTTGAGAGTGCCTGTTTATTTGGATTAGATATTTTTGAAAATCCATATAGTAGGGAAAAAAAGGATATAGTCACTATCCTAAACTGTTTGGTTCTTGCAAGAGTTCAGATATTGAGGATTATTGCATTATTTGTATTGACATTTGATTCCTGAGTTCTAATAATGAATAGTTTGTTGTTATTTAGAAAGACTTTTCCCACTCTGAGATCAGATATGCAATTTATTTTTTTCTAGTTTTTATGATTTAATTTTTAATTCACCTGGAATTTATTTTGGTGTAAGTTATGAAGTGGATCTAACATTAGTTTTCCAAGTGGATCTAACATTAGTTTTCTGAACTATTACTCATTGATCTTAGCATCCATCTTTTTTCCTCACTGTTTTGATATGCCACCTCTGTCTTACACAGAATTCTTTTTTTTAAATATACAGTTCTTGAATATATTCCTGGAGGTTTGTCTGTAAGGTTTTTATTGTTTAATTAATCGTTTGGCTTTAATTTAGTCGTTTGATATATTTTAGTACCTAATGCTATTAAACCAAATAGCTAGTGAAGAATGCTATTAAACCCAACAGCTAGTGAAGAGTTATTTATTCCTTGAAATAAAACTTCAGAATCCTTTGGTGTTGCCCTTTTCTTCCCTCATTCTATTGTAATTTTTATTGAAGTTACATGATGTTTATCAGAGCATGAGTTGACATCTTACGGTATGGATTCTGCCACTTCAGGAAGCATACTGTGTTTTCCCATTCACGTAATCTTCTCTGTTTCTCTGTGAAATTTTGTAGATTTTTTCCTTTATGTGGATTCTGCACGTTTCCTTAATATTTATTTCTAAGGATTTAAAATTTTTGTTCTTACTGTAAGTGGATTTTCACACACATTTATCATTATTTATTTTACTTTACTTTTGGTTTTATTGAGTTACATACCTTGGAACTCACCCATTGAAACTGTACAACTCAATGGCTTTCAGTGTATTCACAGAATTATTCAGTCTTCACTACAGTCAATTTTAGAATATTCATCACCTCAAAAAGAAGCCCTGCATCTTTTAAGTATCTAATTCTCTGTCGTCCCAGCCCTAAGCAACAATCTTCCTTCTCTATGTATTTGCCTATTTGAACCTTTTATATAAATGGAATTATATTGTCTTTTGTGACTGACTGACTTTCAGTTAGCACATTTTTAGGATTCATCCATGTTGGAGCATGTATCAATACTTCATTCCTTTCTGTGGCTGAATAATATGCCATTGTATGAACATGAACATACCACATTTTGTTAATCCACTCATCAGTTGATGGACATTTGGATTGTTTTCTATCTTTTGGCTATTGTGAGTAATGCTTCTCTGAGCATTTGTGTAAAAGTTTTTCATGGACTTAATTTGCATTTCTGACAGGTATATATTTAGGAGTGGAATTACTGGGTCAAATGATAACTCATTTTTACTTTTTCAAAAAACGGTCAGACTATTTTCCAAAGTGCTGCAAAATATTATATTCCTTTCAGCAGTGTATGAGGGTTCCAGTTCCTGGACATCCTCACCAACACTTGTTATTTTGACTGTTCTAGCCATCCTAGTGAGTGTAAAGTGATATCTCATTGTGGTTTTGATTTACATTTCCCTGCTGAATAATGATGATGAATATCTTTTCATATACTCATTTGTCATTTATACATACCTTCTTTGGAGGAATACCCATTCAGATCCCTTGCTCACTTTTTAATTGGGTTACTTATTTTTTATTACTGAGTTATAAGAGTCCTTTATATATTCTAGACATAAGTCCCTTATCAAATAAATGATTAGCAATTTTTTTTCTCCCATACTGTGGATTGTCTTTTCACTTCATCAGTAGTGTTCTTTGAAGCACAGAAGTTTTTAATGTTGACAAAGTTCAATTTATTTCTTTTGTTGCTTCTGCTTTTGGTGTCATATCTATTGTCAGAATCCATTGCTGAATCCAAAAGCATGAAGATTTACCCCCTGTGTTTTCTTCTAAGAGTTTTATAGTTTTGGTTCTTATGTTTAGATCTTTGATCCATTTTTGAGTCAATTTTTTGTACATGATGTGAGCTGAGGGTCCGACTTCATTCTTTTGCATGAGGCTATTCAGTTGTTTTAGCACTATTTGTAGAAAAAGACATTTCCCATTGAGTGGTCTTGGCACGTTTGTTGGAAATCAGTTGACCATGGATACCTGGATTTGTTTCTGGGCTCTCATTTTGGTTCCATTGATTTATATATCTGTCCTTCTGCCAGTACTACACTGTCTTGATTACTGTAGCTTTGTAGTAAGATTTGAAATTGGAAAGTATGAATCTTTGTTCTTTTTGAAAATTGTTTGGCTGTTCTGGGTCTCCTGAGATTCTATGTGAATTTTAGGATCAGCTTGCCAATTTCTTCGAATAAGCCAGCTGGGATTCTGATAGGGTGTGGTAAATTTATAGATAAAGCTGAAGAGTATTACTATTTTAATAATATTAGGTCTTTTGATCCATGAACATGGAATGTCTTTCCCTGTATTTAGATCATCTTTAACATTTTTCAACAGTGTTTTGTGGTTTACAGGGTGTAAGTTTTGCATCTCTTCTTATTAAATACATTCCCAAGAATTTGTCTTTTTGATGCTATTTCAAATGACATTGCTTTCTAAGTTTAATTTTTGCATTGCTTGTTGCTAGTGTATAGAAGTACAGTTGATCTTGTATATTGATCTTGTATCTTGCATTCTTGTTAAACTTGTTTATTAATTTTCTTTAGGGAGTCTTTAGGATTTATACAAGATCATGTCACCTGTGAATAGAAAGTTTCACTTCTTTTCAATTGGGATACCTTTTATTTCATGTAATTCTTTATTAATAAAGCTGTATCTTCATTTGGCTCCATCAGTGGTTCTCAAAGTTTGATATGTGGACCCTGGATGTTCCAGAGAGCCTTTCAAGGGGTCTGAGAGGTAAGAAATCATTCATAGTGCAAGGGTGTGGTGGATTAAACTCCTGGTCACATTGCAGAAAATAAGGCAGTGGCACTAAGTAGTTAATGTAATCTTTATTGCCACACACATGCTATTTAAAAAAATCAGTTGATGCCTTTGAAGCAATGAAAATTTTATTAAATCTCAGAAGCTTGTGTACATGTCTTTAATATTCTGTGATGAAATGAGAAACGCATATAAGCATTTCTTCTGTATACTGCAGTATGATGGTTGTATTAAGAAAGTGCAATCATGTGATTGAGTTATAAGTTGAACCAACTGCTTTTTTCATTAAACACCATTTTTATTTGAAAGAATGATTTACTCAGAGGTTATCCAGATTTGGGTATTTGGCGGGCATTTTCTGGAATGAATGAGGCAAGCATGTCACTTCAAAGAAGACTGGCAGTATTAGTTGCCAGTAATAAAACTGAGCTTTCAAGAAAAATTTACAGTTTGGAAAACTTGTACTGTCACTGTGAATTTGACAGCTGCCCAGTACTTACAAATTTTTAATGAATTTGATGGGAATATTGATGATAGAATTTTTTGTATTGTCTATTCAGAGAACAAAATGGATGAATTTTAATGTAACAGTACCAATAAGGTTTTAGATTTCACATTGCAGCTTATCCATAAGAAGATAACACTCTGAGTTTTGGTGTAATAACAAAGAAGAATACCCAAAATTATCTGACAAGGCTATTAAAATACTCTTTCCATTTCCATGTTCAGACCTTTTAAGGACGGTTTTTTTTTTTTTACATGCTTCACCAAAAGTACATGGCAACACATAGAATGCAGAAGTAATTAATGAGAATCCAACTGTTTTCTATTAAGCCAGATCCTAAAGATATTTTCAAAAATTTAAAACAGCACCAGTCAAATCACTGATTTGTTAAAATGGAAAACGTAATAATTTGTCATAAACTGATGAGCAAATAATTAAACGTTTTTGAGTTTTAATTTAGAACACAATAAATATTGATAAACATAAATCACCTTTTTTTAAGTCTTCAGTTTTTAAGTGTGTAAAGTAGATTGAAAAACAAAATTTGAGGACTGCTGAGCTGCATAATCTTAAAATTTTCCCATTCTTCTTCGTTATTCAGGGTTTTGTTACTCTAATCTCTTAAGAATGGAGATTACTCAAGGTTTAGTCCTTTGCTGTGTATATTATGAAGAAGTCGAATTAAGGATTCAATGTATTCCCATGACTTCATTATCTTTCAGACACTTTGAGAGTGTTTCTAACCCTGACCAATTTTCCAAGTGTCAGTCTAATGTTCTTAACTTAGGTCTAGAGGTTTCTACTTAAATATCATTCTTTGTCCTCAGATTCAACAAAAGTAAAACTGAGTCCTTCATCTTGTACTCATTTATTTTCTTGCTTGCTTTTTTACTTGAATCTTGGTTAACTGTGAATTTCTCACAGTGGAAGTTACTTCAGTATTTGTTCTACTTTCCAGACCTTAGAATAGTACCTCTGAAACTTTAATGTATATATGAATCGCCTGGAGATTTTCTTTAAAATTCAGATTAACTCAAGCAGTTTGAAGTTTTTCTTGAAATTGTTCCTTCTAACAGCTTCCGGATGATGCTGATGATGTTGGTCCTTAGAACACACTTTCAGTAGCAGAGCCTTAGAATACTTTAATTCTATTTATTCTGCTCCTGTCTTTTATACTCCTATTGTAGTCTTTTTTAATTACTTTTGTTTTTAAAGTTCTAGAAGACATTATTATTATAAAGTCAATATTCATTTAGATTTACCCACATTTACCCTTTCTTTTATTCTCCATTCTCTATTACATCTCTGGGCTTTCATAAGGGATCATTTTTCTTTTAGCATTTCCTATAGTGTGATTCTCCTGTGGATGATCTTTTCCAGGATTTACTTGTCTTTTTGAAATGAAGATAAAATGTTTTCAGGCAAACAAACACTGAAATAGGATTTTCAATTAGATTGACAGGTACTATTTATTGCTTCTTTCAATAAGTCATTCCACTTTTTAGTATTTAATTTTTTTTGGAAGGGAGAATTAGGTTTATTTATTTATGTTTAGAGAGGGTACTGGGGATTGAACCCAGGACCTCCTGCATGCTAAGCATGTACTCTACCACTTGAGCTATACCCTTCCCCAGGTTATTCCATTTAAAAAATTTTTTTTGGCTTAAATAGTTAATACTGAGAAGTCAGCCATCAGTTTTACTATTGCTTCTTCAAAGGTAAGTTTTTTATTTGTCTGTCTGATTTTAAGACTCTTGTCTTAGGTCTTCAGTTTTACTGTGATAAGTCTACATCTGTTTTTGTATTTATTTGCTTGGGAGTCATTCTTGAATCTGGTTTGAGTTTTGAAAAATTAGTTTTGTATTCATTATCTCTTCAAATGTAGGTCCTGCCTCATGCTTTCATAGTCTTTTGGAACTCCGTTTATCTTTCATTATCTTCCTTGTCTCTTTAGCTCTCTTCTATATTTTCCATTCTTTTGTCTTTTGTGTCTCTCTACTTCAGACTAGATGCTTATTTTTGACCTATCTTCTTTACCTTAATCCTCTCTTAAATTCTATGTAATCTAATATTAAAGCCATCTTTTGAGATCTTCATTCCAGTTACTGTATATTTTAACTGTAAAGCTTTTAGTTCTCACATTTCAGTATTTTAAAATTTTGCTGAAATTATTTTTTTTCTTTTTCTTTCTTTCTTCCTTTTTTTTAATGGAGGTACAGGAGATTGAATCCAGGACCTCATGTGTGCTAAGCATGTGCTCTGCCACTGAGCTATATCTCTCCCCCTGAAATTCTTGATCTTAACATCTAATATCTTGAACATATTTACTACTGTTAAGTTCAGGTCTGATAACTACAATATCTGATTTTTTGTCTTACTATTCTTTTTTTTCACTCTTTGTTTTTGATTCTGTGGTTTATGGTCTTGTTTTTTGGTATGTTTGGTAATTTTTTTATTTTATTATAGAAAAACTAAAACATACAGAGTCATGTGTAGAAGTATAAGAAAGTTCATGGCAATGATAGTTATGAACCAGCAACCCAATCAGTAATTGCCAACTTAGACAATTTTGTTTCATTTCTATCCTGTCCATTCTCTTTCCCCCACCCATTGGATGACTTTCAAGTAAATTCAGATATCATATGTTACCTGTATATAAATTTCAACATAGTTCTAAAAGACATAGTTTAGAAATACATAACCATAATATCCTTAAAACTATAAAATTGAGTAATTTCTTAATACAAAATATCTAGTGGTCAAATTTCCCTCATACTCTAAGTTAAAAAAAATTGTTTTTAGAATTTGTATCAAGATTCAGATGAGATCTACTGAAGTTACTGATTTTTTAAAAAAAAAATTGGAATCATTGATGTGTAATTTGTATGCAATAAGCTGCATCTGTCTTCAGTGTATGGTTCCATTCATCTTGACAAAACGTGTACACCTATGTAAGCACCACCACAGTTGAATATTATCACCAACCTACCATCCTTGTAACTGCTGATGTGCTTTTTTTCCCCAGCTTTGTTGAGATATAATTGACATATAACATTGTGTAAGTTTAAAGTGTATAACATGATGAGTTGTTGCATGTGTATATTACAAAATGATTACCCCAATAAAGTTAGTTAAAATATCCATCACCTCACATAATTACCTTTTTTGGGGGTGGTGGTGAAAACATTAAGATTTATTCTCTTAGCAACTTTAAAGTATGTAATGCAGTGTTGTTAATTATGGTCACCATGCTGTCATCATGGTCCCAAGAACTTAATCATCTTATAATTGCAAGTTGGTACCCTTTGACCAATATCTTTCCATTTCTCCCACCCCCTACTCCTCTGGCAGTTACCATTTTATTCTTTTTTATGAGTTCAGCTTTTTTAGATTTCACATGTAATTGGGACCATACAGTATTTATCTTTCTCTGACTAACTTCACTTAGCATAATTTCCTCAAGGCCCATCCATGTTGTCACAGATGGCTAAATTTATTCCATTGTGTATATGTACCACATCTCCCTTATCCATTCATCCCTGGACACTTAGGTTGCTTCTGTTCCTTGGCTCTTTATTGTACATATTGCTGCATTGAACATGGGCGTATGGATATCTCTTTGAGATAGTAATCCACTTCCTTTGGATATTTTGAGATAGTAATCCGTTTCATTTGGATATGTACCCATAGGTGGGAGTGTAAGATTATGTAGTGGTTCTATTTTGCATTTTTTCAGGAATTTTTTATACTGTTTTGCACTGTGGCTGTACCAATTTATATTCTCACTTAACAGTGCATCAGGGTTCCCTTTTCTCCACATCATCACAAATACTTGTTATCATTTGTCTTTTTGATAATGGGCATTCTAACACATGGTGAAGTGATAGCTCATTGTAGTTAATTTGTATTTACCTAATGATTAGTGATGTTGAACATCTTTTATGCACCTATTGACTATCTATGTTGTCTTTGGAAGAATGTCTATTAAGGTCCTTTGGAATTTTTTAATTGTTTTTGTTTTGCTATTGAGGTGTGTGAGTTTCTTATGTATTTTGGTTATCAAAAACCTTTTAAATATTTTGGGAATCAACCTTTATAAGTGGTTTGCAAATATTTTCTTCCATTTCATAGATTGGTTGTTTCTTTTGCTGTGCAGAAGCTTCTTAAGTTTGATGTAGTACTACCTGTATATTTTTGTTTTTGTTGCTTGTGCTTTTGGTTGTTATAGCAAAAAAATCATTGCCAAGACCAATGTCAAGGAGTTTTTCCACTGTGTGTTTGGTTTCAGGTCTTAACTTTGAATCTTTAATCCATTTTGAGTTAATTTTTGTGTATGGTGTTACGTAAGGGCCCAGTTTCATTCTGTGGATAGCTCAACACTATATTGAAGACTCTTTCCCTATTGAATATTCTTGGCTCACTTGCCAAATTTATTAGTAACCATTTATGCATGGGTTTATTTCTGACC